CATCCACGCGGCGCGGCGGCGCGGCGGCGCGGCGGAGCGACCCCTCGGGCTGTTCACACAAAGTTGGGCGGCGTCGGCGCACCTTTCTCAGCGGTCTCGAGTCTCCTGCAGTGCTGCGGCAATCCGGCCGCCGTCGCCGTCCTCGGCCTCGTCCTGGGCTGCTGTTTAAAACCGGCGCTCGTCCTCTCCTTCCCACGCAGTGCTTTGGTCACTCTGTCTCCCTCGCACCTCCTCGAAATCCGCTGGCCAGTGCCGCTGCCGCTGTTGCCGCTGGCCCCGTCCTGGCTTGTGGCGACGGCCCGCTCCCCGAGCGCGTGGCGCGACCCAACGTGTCAACGACGTCAACGACGTCAACGTGCCCCCGGGTCGTCACTGACCCAGACACTCGGCCAGGGCCTGGCCGCCAGGCCGCTGGAGTTGGCCAGCCCGGCCTGATCCGGCCCAGCCCGCCATCCGCCGCGGCCATACAGCCGACAGATTCCGAGAGTCGTTTTCGTCGCTCTGTCTCTCTCGCACCTGCACGGTACGCCCCACAAGTGCGAGAGAGACGGGGAGACTCTCGGCTTCAGGTCCTATCCCATCCGATTCAACGACCTCCCGCCGGGCTTGCCGCCGGACTCGCCTCGCCGCGACGCCGAGGAGAGGGGCGGGGCGGGGCGGGGCGGGGCGGGGCCAAGGGCGGGGCGGCCGGCCCGGCCCCGGGGGCCGCGACGTCGCGACTATCAAGAGCGGCAACTCTTCCTCTTCCCCGTCCCTCCCCGCCGCTCCTGGGCAGGTAGTGCAGTCGGCAAGCAAGCACCGTTACTGTACAGCGCGAGGCCCTCCTGTCCGACCAGTCCGCCCCCCTTCCTCTTTCCACCTTTCGCCCGAAGTGAGACGAAACAACGGCGGGCGTGTAAACGAATTTAGGGGCCCCACTCGGCTAGAGTTGCCTCTCTGACTTCATACCAAGCTGCTCTCCCCCGGCCCGGCGTGCTCCGCGTGCTCCGCGTGCTCAAGGCGCTCCGGTCTTCAGTGCGTCGCACCAGTGCTTCGGTGACACAGACTCCAGAGCCTAACGCTTCGCTTATCATTTCGTTTTAATTTTTTCCGAAAGGCGGTCATTGTTCCCACCTCCCGCTGAGGACCGAACCTGGGCCACCTGGGCCACCTGGGCCGCGAAACGCGACGCCGGGCCGTGACCGCCGCGACCCGCGACCGCGCGACGCCGCCACAGCTTCCCTCGGCTCGGCTCGGCTCGGCTCGGCTGGACTCGGCTCTTCACCGAACAGGTGCCGCCAGCCGCCAGGCAGGCAGCCAGCCTGCGTTGCGGCCATGCTGTACCGCAGTGCACGCCGCTCCGGCGGGTTGCCTACCCTCCGGCTGACAGGCGCTCTCGCTCGCTCCGCTAGGTCTGCTGCGCGCGACTCACTCCGCACCTCGAAAAAGGAGCGGCAAAAACGGCGCCGACGGATCTGCCCACGACAGCGGCAGAAGCAGCAGCAGCAATTTGATTCCGAGAAGTGCTTTCGGCGCCCCCATTCGCTCGCACCCGTTCGCTCCATGAGTGCGAGAGAGACGGAGCCACGCGCCCAAGAAGCACTGTTTGGGATGAGAAGACTGATTCCCAGAGCCGTTATGTCTCTCTCACGCCAATGCAGGGCGGCTCGTGAGTGCGAGAGAGACAGAACGACTGCCAGTGTGCTGCAGGCCGCGGCATGCGCACCCTTGCAGGGCGCTCGTCCCGTTCGCGTCGAAGCGCCCCAACTTTGTCGCGCCATAAACGTATCGCACCTGCCTGTCGGCGGCCTCGACGGTGGCCTCGACGGCGGCGGCCCGGCGCCCTATCAAAGCCAAACTTTGGCCGCGTTGTCCTTTGCGGCCCGCAGCGCCCTGACAGCGTGGTGCCGCCTAGTGCCGCCGGGTGCCGCCTGCGCCGCGCTCGCCCGCCGCCACCGCGGTTGTTTTCAAAAAGAGTTTCGCTTTATCTGATGGAATTTGACATTGCGCCGCGTGGCGCGCTTCCCCTGCCGACGCGCCGACTTGCTGACGTGCACCAGGTGGCCGTGGCGAGGGGTGGCGTGGCGTGGTGAGGCGTGGCGTGGCGTGGCGAGGGGTGGCGTGGCGTGGCGAGGGGTGGCGTGGCGTGGCGAGGGGTGGCGTGGCGTGGCGTGGTGAGGCGTGGCGTGGCGAGGGGTGGCGTGGCGTGGCGTGGTGAGGCGTGGCGTGGCGTGGCGTGGCGTGGCGTGGCGAGGCGCCTCGCATGCCGGGCGCCGGAAGGCGGGAAGCAGGGTGATTCCGCGCGTTGCGGCCGACGGTCGATCTCTCTCGCTCCTCTACGGGACGTCTCGTGAGCGTGCGAGAGAGACGGGCTGAGGGCCGCACTGCCGCACTGCAGACCGCGGCCACGATCCGCCCCACCGCCAACGCCTCACGGCGACAGAAAAGATTCCCTAAACAAGCAAACAAAAAAGAAATGAAGCAGTTTGGAGTCAGTTGCGGCGCGGGGTGGTGGTGCTGTTGCCTCTTTGTCGCTCTTTCCCTCCACTTCCCTCCCTCCCTCTTCCGAGCGAGGATAAAAGTAAAATCAGAGCGAATAGTAAAATTCCATTGGGCTCGGGCCACGTGTTTTATCGTGATTGTTTTTTTGTGAGTTTTTTCGCCAGACCGATGATGAGAGGCGGGGGAGGGGGCGCGTCTCGAGTGGGGGATGAGACGGGGATGCGGCGCTGGAGGAGGAGCCCAGTCCCGGCATCGGCGAGCGAAATCGACTTAAATTGCCTTGTTTGCCGATCTGGCGCGGCCGGTGATGAAGGGGTGCTTGTTGTTCGGAACGAGACGAGCTGGTGCGATGCTGCGCACTGCTGTGCTGTGCCGGGGCGGGAGACGAGGTGAGAGTCTCCACGCCAACTACCCAGCCAGCCTTCCAGTCGCCTTCCAGTCGCCTTCCAGCCACCCCGACGGCGGAAAGGAAAGAATACTCCTCGCGAGAGTCCTGGAGTCCTGGAGCCGCCTCCATTATTAATATCGCCCTGGCTGGAATAAAAGGACAAAGGCCAGGCGGCCAGGCAGGCAGGCAGCCTCCCCTTCCCACGACTGATGATGATGGCGGGGCACGGCCGGGCCGCGAGCCGCTCGGCTCATTTTCGACATGGAATGCGTTGTCGTGTCCGTGGCGTCCGTCGCACTGCAGACTGCGGAGCGGACTGCCGCACTGGAAAAACAACAGCAGGTCTAACTGTCGGCGTCGCGACGGCCTGGCGGGCTGGCGGGCTGGCGGGCTGGCGGGCTGACGGCCTGACAGTCCGACGGACCGCAATGCCCGCCGCAGCCCGCAGCGCCGGCCTGGCCCGGCCCGGCCCGGCCACTGGCACACTTCGCCAAATGACTCCAAAGTCGCCGCCGAGGCCATTCATTGCCATTCATGCTCAAAGCCGCCATTCTGTAACGCAAACCGGACTCGTTTCAAGTTTAGCCGGCTTAGCGGCAGGGCCGGCAGGGCCGAGCCGCCCAAAGGGCACCCATTTTCCGTCTCTGCTCCATTTTAATCCCCCCATCCTTTTTTGTTTTCCCTTTTCGCTCTCTCGTTGTTGACTTTGAAGCCCAGCGAGACGGAATGTTTCATGACGTTTTCTACCAACATCATGTACTGTATAGAAACAAAAACAAATATGAGCGTAACTCCAGGCACGCGCTTGTTCTCCTGCTCTGGGTGCCGCGTGGGCCCCGGCCGGGCCGTGGGCTCGCAAGAGAGCCACCGCTCGCATCGACTCTTTCCACTGTTTTGGCGGTGGTGTGGTGGTGTCGGGGAACGGCGGGGAACCCCAGCGCGCTCGGGTCTCGGGCCGGCCGGGCCTCGGGCCGCACTCCACAAGTTGCTGCAAGTCGCTGCTTCGCTGCAAGCGAGCACGCGAGCAACTTGCCCTCTCACCCCGCGCCGCGCCGCCCCGCGCCGCTGTTTGCCTCTTTCAGGACAATTACCTCGGCCCGATTCATTTACACAGGGGCGTGGCGGGGCGCGGCGGGCGTGGGGCGTGGGGCCCCTTCCCCTTCCCCAACAAGGTGATGGGATTAGAGGGATTAGGGGACTTTCGTTTTCGTGAGTCGCACACGGCACACGGCAGTCCGTCCGGCAGTGGCAGTCGAGGACTCGGTCGAGGGTCCAAAGGTGCGTGCACCGGGGGCTGTCGCTGTCCCTTTCTCTCTCTCGTATCTACCTGGCCCCGCACTGCCCGGCACTGCCCCGCACCTCCTTTCCGCTAGAGTCTGACTCCGTCGTCCGTCGTCGCTCTGTCTCTCTCGCACTGATGGGGCGTGCCGTTGAGGTGCGAGAGAGACAGAGCATCGTGAGCAAGCGTGAGCGGCCGGCCGGCTAGCCGTGCCGTTTGCCGTATGCCGTGTCACCGGCCTCTCTGTTTGGCTCTGCTCGTCCCTGTCCCTGTGGTCCCTGTCCCTCCGCTGGACCGCTGGACGGCCGGCCGGCCGGCCGGGTCACCTCGCCTCACCTCGCTTTGGTTTCGCCAATCAGTCTGCAGTCTGCATAGCACCGCAGCGCGACGCAGAGCGACGCAGCGCCGACCGACGCACGGAGCCAGAGTGTCTCCGGCAAGCACAGCCTCCCCGACGGCGACGGCTACGCGCGCGATCGTCCGGAGAGCCGCCGAGCGCCACCCAGTGTAGTGCCCGTAGTGCCGCATGCGAGTCTCGTCGTCTCGTCTTCTCGTCTTCCGCTCCACTGGCAGCCCGAGCGTGACCAAGGTCCGTCACGCCCCCGTCACGCCCCCGTCACGCTGCCGTCACGGCGTGCTGGCGCCGCGTCGTGCCGCTGTCGTGTGACGACGCCGACGACGCGTTGACGCTGCGATCGCCGGCGTCGCCATGTCAGAGGGCGGGGCGGCGGGGGCGGCCCGTCACGGCCGCGGAGCAGCAGAACGCGCGGGAGTTCGCTCGGTGTGCCGTGCGTTGTCGTTTTTCATTTTTCATGAGAGTAAAACTTGTGTTTTTGCTTGTGTGTCCGACAGAGAGGCGCCGCACGTGAGGGCGCCCAGGCGTGCCCAGGGTGGCCACAGCGAGGCAGCGCGGCAGCCGCACGCCCCCGGCACGGCCAGCAGCACGGCTGCGTGAGCCTGGCGTCAGCCCGCAGGGAAGTCCCGCCATGGCCCGGAAACCAGAAGGGTAAGTGACACCGGCAGCTCCGCCAGCACCGCCGGCGGGGCTGGCCGATTTCGCAGAGTGCTTTCGTCGCGCTGTTTCTCACGCACATCACGGGGAATCGCCAACCTCGCGTAGGGGTTCGAGAAAGACGGAGCACCTTCGGGGGCAGCCTTGGGGACCGCCATGGCCACCTGCCGTCTGATTCTGAAAAGGCCTTTCGTCGCGGTCTCGCCCTCTGGCACTCGTGGGGCGTCCCACACAAGGTGCAATAAAGAGAGAGAGAGCGACGAAACTTTTTTTCGGAATCATGAGCCAGCAGTCGCGCTCGTCGCGTCGTCGCCGCCCTGTCATTGGCAGTCACTAGAGTGAGGAAAGGGCGTGCACTGTCAATCGCACTCGCCCGCGAGTCGGCCCCAATCAGTCCTGCGAGTCCCGTCAGGCCGTCAGGCCGTCAGGGCGCTGGGACGTCGGGAGGACATTAGTCCTGAGGGAGAACCGGCTGCCCCAGGACCCTCGGGGCCTGTCCGGCCGTCCGCCCGCGTCCGGCGGGGGACGGGGACAAGGCACAAGCGGGACAACCTTTAGCGCACCTTGGGCACGGTAATCCTATTACGGCGCCCCTCAAGTGGCCCTCCAGACTCCAGCTGCCCAGTGGCTGTCCAGCGGCCAGTACGCAGTACGGCACCGCCACGGCCGGCCAGGGACCGAGACCGAACCGGGCCGGGCAGGGGGCAGCCCCAGGCCCCGGACAAACACGACGGGGACGGCCAAGCTCGCGGGGCACTTATTGACCACGAGAGGCTCAGGAGTTGTTTTATCTCGAGTTTTCCGATTTCCCCCCCTGTTCTTTTCCATGCTGCGGTTTGTTGGGTGGGAGGCTACCCCACAATTCACACCGCTAAAAGCCAACATTTGTAGCCCTCCCCTGCCCGCTGCTCCACGCCCTGCATCATGTTTTATCCTAGCCTCCCCCCTCCCTTCCCCCACCCCCACCCATGCCACGCCCCGCCTCGAGGACCAAACTCGCTCGCGACTAAATAATAGATAGCGCAGCAGGGGTCGGCCTGGCCTGGCTCTAGGCTGTAGTAGCGGTGCTGGAGCGGTGCTGGAGCCGTGTCGTGGGTGGGTCGCGGCGTGGCGCCCCGCGCCACCCTCCAGCGGAAAGAGCACTGCACATATCGCACTACCTGGGGCCGACCCGCCCGCCCCGCCCGCCCCGCCCGCGCAAACACGGAAACAACATTCGTAGTTAATTACTGATATCAAGTCCCGAGAGGCGGGCCAGAGTGGTACATAGATATCGGGGTGGGTGTGCCCCCCCCCCTCCCCTTCCTCAGTGGCTGGCTGGATCCCCCAACCCTTCACCTGTCCGAACGCGGATTCTCGTCCCCCCTCCCCCGCACCACCGTACGGGTTGTGGGTGCCGCGTTGCCGCGGCGCCCTTTGCCGCCGGCAAGTTGCTCCAGAACATGTTGAGCACTGCGGTCTCCCGGTGTTGCCCCTGCCTCTGGCTGCCTCTGGCTGCCCCTATGTGCCGCGCCGGTCCCGGTCCCCCTGTCGTCGGCCGCCCGCCCCCTCGCCCCGCCCTGCCCCGCAGCCCCGCAGCCCCGGGGCCACTCACGGTCAGTCCGCCCGTGCGTCCGTCCCCCTGGCTGACCCTGCGACGGGACCCCCCGTGACCATTTGACCCCAGCCGTTAGCTCGGGGCCGTCGAGGCCAGGCCAGTGGCGCCCCCTGCCCTTTTATCAACTTTTGCTATCTATATTCCCCCGGCAGCGCGGTGCCGCGGTGCGGCCCCTCCACCCCATCCCTTGCCGCTCCCTCTCCCCCAACCCCTGGCGTTGGCCCGTTGGCCCGTTGGCTCGGACGGGACCTAAACCCAATATCGAAGATCCCATACACGCTGCGGTGGTGGAATACAGTGGCGGGGCACGCGGCAGTGGCTCTGATTTATTTTCAATGAGGTCTGCCCTTGTTGCAGGGAGGAGCTCTGCCCCGGGGAGCTCCCCGACGGCCCCGTCGGCGAGGGGTCGCGCCGCGAGGGCGCCGACGACGTCGAGCAGCCCAGCGCGCCGACGCTGGAGGACGCCGAAGTGAACCTGACGCCCACGACGCTGGAGGAAGCCTTGAGGACGATCAAGAAGTTGCGGGACGGGCAGGGCGGCACGCCCGGCGCCAAGCCCAGCAAGACGGCGCAGCAGCTGCTCCAGTGGAGGCGGCGCGCCCTGGCCTACGAGGAGACCATCAGCCGGCTGGCTCGCGCCAACCAGGAGCAGATGAGCATGCTGTCGGGCCAGCTGATGCTGCTCAAGGCTCGGCTGGTCCGCAAGCAGAAGGACATCGGCAAGATGCTGGTGCAGAGGGAGGCCGTGATCCAGCGCCAGCAGCGCACCATTCACCTCCTGCAGTCCCGGCTGCAGGAAGCAGGTAAGGATCCAGGCCTCGGGACTGGGCGTGTTCGGGCGGCGACAGTTCCTGGACTTAATTTGGATTCTGATTCAGGAGTGGACGCTGCCGCCGACCTAGACTCCCCGACGGGGGAGACGAATCTCGACTCTCTGAACGACAGCGATTCCGCCGTCATCATGGAGGACGGCCCGGGCTCCGACCACGAGCACTCCGTGTACCCGAGATTCAGGTGAGAGGCGCAGCCGGCGCAGGGCTGCGACCCGTGGTTTGATTCCGAGCTGGTTTTGTCTGTCTCTCGCGCGCATGGAGCGTTCCACATGGGTGTGAGCGAGACAGGGTGCCGAGGAGGTGTATACTAACTTTACCGGTCGGCCTGCAGGCACTACGGCGAGGGCGGCGTGACGGTGGCGCGCAGCGTGTCGGACGCCGTCGAGTCCCCCACCGCCAAGTGGCGCCAGCAGCAATTCCAGTCGCAGCCGCAGCGGGGCAACGGCTTCAACTTCCTGCGCCGGCCGGAGGTGCTGGAGACCGTGTACTCGGTGGAGGAGGACGGCGAGGGCGAAGGCGGCACCGCCAACGGCACCGCCAACGCCGCGGCGGCTGGCGGCTCGTCGACGGCGTCCGCGCCTGGCAGCGAGGTCGGCGAGTACGTCATCCTGCAGGAGCGCGCCAGCAGCCAGCCGCACTCCAGACGTGAGTACAGACACCCTCCGAGCCGCCTCTCTGGTCGACGGCGACCTCGCCCCCCGCAACCTAACGCCTCCTTCCCTCTGCCCACAGGCACAAGCAGCCAGAGCTACAAGGGCGACTCCAACTCCTCCATCGACGACACCCCGTCCGTGGACGACTCGTCCTGCTCCACCATGTCCGCGGCCACCGGCAGGCAGTGGGGCCCTTGCCCCGGGTCGCCCGGCGTGGGCTGCCCGGTGTACGGCAGCCTGGAGGTGCTGACGGAACCCTGCGACCTGGCCGTGGCTCGGGTGGCGCCGAACGGAGGGCCCAACCACGTCACCACCTACAACAGGGTCATGTCGAACCACCGCTCCGTCACCAAGCCGAAGGACGTCAAGTACAAGCGTATTAACAAAGCCAAGTCCAAGAGCCTGGAGGAGCTGCGGGGGCGTCTGCGGAACTGGGTGGACAGGGGCATTTCCTCCAATAATAAGTTTATCAGCCTGGACCAGTCGTACGCGTAGCGCTGCTCTGCCGCGCTGAGCGCTACGAGCCAGGCTCTTTCTTGATCTCTTCCCCACGCGAGCCGCGCCGCCGCGCCGCCGCGCCGCGTGCTTAGTCAAAGACTCCTAGTGGGGACACTATTTTCAAATTTGACGGGTGCAACGCTCCACGTCACTGTTGTCGTCTCTTTCTACTTGTACATTGCGGCGGGTGTCACGGCTTTAGTTTATATGCAAAGCGTTTGTGCATTCTGTGTATTCGTTCGAGAGAACGACGGAGAGAAAGCGGTTTGAGCTTTTTCTCAGCTTTTTAGGCCAAGTTGCCTGATTTTATTAAATGACATGAGAGAGCTTCTCTGGTAAGTCTCTGTGACTGGCAGACTTGAAAATCTAGTCACTTTGTTCATAAACTTACTTATTATATAAAAATGTTTGAATATTAGAAAAGAATTACTTCTTGCTGCTTAGGGACGTGATGTATAAGGTCTTCTTGTTGTGCAGATCAAATGTGCTGTGTAAAACAAAGAAAGTAATAAAGAAAATGTCAAGAAGATTGGACTTGTGAGAATAATCTAGACTGTCGATTGTGATGAGCTGTGCTCTCTATCACTCATTATGATCACATACTGTGAATAATCTCAATAAATCGCTTACATAAACAATCAGATATTTATTGGTTAAAACAAACCCATTTCCAAATAATTTCTTCTAATTTAAAAAAAAAAATAACTTGTTTGAAGCAAGGTAAAGACAAGTTTTTGCCAGGTTGAAACACTGAGAAAAGAAACAGGACTTAAAATTTATTGAAATGATACCTCAATACACAGTACTATTGCACAGTTCCTGAACTTCTATCGTTTTACACAATTGTACAACTGTTAACACTATCTACAAATGCACTTCAGAAACCGCCTCTGTCTAGATACCAAAAATTCAGAAGGCACTAGTAACGAAGATGGGGTTTCTCCTTCATAATGTACCTGAAGGAAAAAATATGGCCAATCAATACAGAGTAGACAAGGACTGTAGGTTTTAAACTCAAATTGAGTAAAACCTTGCGATACTATAGGAAATGCACTGGAAACACTTACTTGTCTAATTTCTCCCATATAACCATGAGAGCAGCTCTGTCTAAATGTCTCTTAGTTCTCGACAGGTGCACCACATGTACAGCCCACCGTCCAACATTCGCATCAAGTTTCATTTCGTCATACTTCAAGTGAAAAGCACAGACTGAGAAAAAAAACAACCAGTCAGCAAACAGAAAAAAAAAACCATGAACCTTTACTTGTCAAACATAATACTCACTTTTAGAGAAAATTTCAGTTGGATTTCCATCCCACGGCCAACCCTTGAACTGCCAGGCAGGTCCCATTACAAACACAGCAACAACTCTCTCCCAATCAGCATGGTTCAGTTTGCTGGGATTATCTACGATTCGATAAGGAACTGTAAGACCACCTTCCTTCCGCCGCTGGAGTAAAATTTCATTGTCTCTCTTCGCACCTTGAGCTTTCTTTTCATCAGTGCTAACAAATCTGTAAGGCCAAAAAAAAAAAAAAAAGGAATAAAAAATGGATTAATTTAAATTAAAGTTTTTAAACCCTTGATGAAAAAACGCCTTCTATTCAGTGAACTTACTTCAGATCTTGCAAAATATCACGGGCGTTGTACATTGTTATAAGGGATGTGTTTGCTGCTGGAATGATAATTATGGGCGTTCTTGATGGTCGTTTGTTGGTTGAAATAGGGCTCATAGATCCTACTCTTGGCTGGTGAACAAACAACAGATTATTAATACAGCAGAGCAATCAATCAATCAAAATAAAAACAAAAATTCAAATAACATACTTGCGCTTGAGGTGCAGGCATCGGGTTTGGTTGAGGTGTGGGCTTTTTGGGCTGTGTCCCTTCAGTCACAGACTTCAGTGTCATACCATGATAAGTTCCCATGGTATCAATTTTAAAGCCCTCAGTTTCTGTTGGAATAAGATTGAATATTTATTTGGTGTTCAAAAATGAAGGTAGAGATAAACAAGACTCAGAAGAGTATGATGATGCACATACCTTCCTTTTGCCGGATAAATCTTTCCTGATCGTAACGGTTGTACATAGTAGGTTGAGGCACTGTTCGCATTGGGGTAGCTCTGGGAGTGATTGCTGGTGTGGGTTGAGGAGGTCGATTTCTTCCCTCTTCACGGGCTTTGATAGAAGTAAGTATTGCTAATATATTTTTAGCAAAAATCTGTAAAAGTGGCACAAAGAGTGTCATTCAGGAGACTATTACTAACGTAACTGAAGATTTCAGCCACAGGAATGTTGTTACCTTTCCTGTACTTTGCAGGATGGTAGTTCTCGTCCGCCACTGCCTCTCTCTTGACAAAATATCTTTGGTAACGTCCACATCAAAATCAAGCATTCCCCTTAAATCTGAACCCAGGCCTGGTTCATCAGTACCTTTGATGGTTGTTCGTTTTTTAGCAAGACGTTTGGCTTTGATAGCAGCAATTTTTTCAACTGACATAGCTTCGGATAGAGATCTGAGACAAATTTAGAAGAGTTATTTATTTGCATTCATTATTGTTTATTTTATTATTTACTGTGAACCAATTTCATACTTAATATTGTCGATGGTAACAGATGCCTCCTTAGGGGCATCCAAACGAGCTGCAAGTTGCTCCTTGACTCTCTGCACCTGCAGGTCTTCAAGACGGGGTTTCTTTGCTACCGTTTCAATACTTTCAGTTTCTGCTGTGCGTTTGACTTGAGTAGGGATCTCAAGAGGAGCTGACTTATCAATACTAGCTGCTGTGGCTGTTTCCCCATTAAGATATGCCAACAGATCCTTACGATCAGGACGTCGCACAACTGGAATATTTTCAGCCTACACAATACAGAAAGGATTGCAATGATGAGTTTTGAAAAACAGAGCGTTAAGAACAACAAGAGCGAAAATAAATCATACTTACAGCAGCTTGTCGGACATAGACAGGATGAGTGAGTCCAACATTTTTAAGCAGAAATAGTAGACATTCCAGAGTGTAATATTCTTTCGGTGCTCCATCCTTTCCGGACCTGAATATGCAGAAAACCAATAAAACATGACTGATAAAACAGAAAATTGAAATGAAATTTCTGGCCATATTGCAGGTGCAATAAATTTAATCGTTGTCCTTGGCACTTGACAGCTTGCCAAGAAAAAGGTGTCTCTGAGGAACCATATTGAAGTAAATGTCCATTCACACTAAAAAAAGGGTGAGTAACAAAAAATGAAAATCGAAAACCCGTTGCTGCAACTGAACAATTGAGTATAAGAAGAGCAGGTTTCTTCCATGGACAATTTCAAAAAATGACACTTGAATGAATGATAGGAAGAGGTTATACAGCACAGTAGTAAAATTGACCCACTTATAGGTAAAGATTGTTTTGAAAAACATGACATTCCCAAACTAGGAAACAAACAGCTTCTAAAACAGAAGTTACCATTGGAAAAAATATAAATAAATAGGAAGACCTGTCCAAAAATAAAACACATACCCCCACATCAAGTAGTTTGTCTTCACATTTTTCGGCCAAGAGAACTCTCCAAATATGATTTGGCTTTCTCTTTCGATTATTTCCTTCTTGTTCACATTGTATTGCCTCAATAAACTCAGTGGATCCGCCATCGTGACCCGGAATAAGTAGACAGATTTCTAAAATTATGTTCACTACTCTTCTTAAATGGCCTCCGTGTGTGTGTTTCTGTTGACGGCTTTTTGCGGGGTCTAGCGGGGGGAGGAGGGGGTGGAATTCAAACCTAAACAAAAGGATTGGCAAGGCGGTGGCCAACACTACCATCACCGATCCTCCACCAGAAAATTTCCCACTCCCCTATTTTGGCAGAAGCAACAGCACGAGCTGAAAGATACCTATACCAAAAATAAAATTTCCGGATTGAACCAAAGAAAACCCTATTCAGTGCACGTTTTCTTCTACACATACTCAAAATCTTTTTGGTTGTTGGTACGAGAGCGCGAACGCTTAAAACAACTTTGACTGACGCTCTTGCTTAGAAAGAAAGTAAGAACGTGAAACATAGTTGAAGCTGACCATTGACTAGAAAAAATACTATTCATGAAAAGGTGGATATTAAATACGAGATTCCTGTGTCATTAGCATACTTTATTTGGTTATTTTGCCAAAATCAAGTTAATCAAGTTCATTGTACCTCGAAATTTGCCATACCATTTTGTTCAGCCCCGCCCCTCCATTCCTCCACGTCTCCCCTCCCCCTCTCCTCTCAAGCAGAAGTGCACCTTAGGGTTAGACACGGTAAGCACAGCTACATAAAAATTTATTTTTCCGTTATCTCAACGCTTATTTGAGTTCTCGGTGTCTTCCCTGTATGTGGCAAGCTACTTGGATCCCTTGATGTGTGCCTGATTCAGCTATCAAGCAGAGCCTCCTGACTTTCTGCCATCGGGAATTTCCCCAACCCCGCTTTGCTGCTGGTCATAGTCTCATTATTGAGGTGTATCTAATTTTCTGTTGAAAGTGATTGCCACATACCGGAGCATGACTTTCTCGTTCCTTTGATTCTTTCGACCCTGTTTTGTGATTCGGCAAGATCTTTTCTATGCATAATTATTCTTTGATGTACATGTCTCTACTGAAAATGATGAAACAGCGTTTTAAGTTGTGATATTTTTGATTTTAGCTTCACGTTGTGAAGTTTGGTGTGTACCAGTGAAAAATCAAACATCAGCAAAATGGCAGAAAAACCCGATCCTGAACTTGATGAGCTGCTGGACTGTAAGTGTGGCCTTTATTTTTGGAAAATATTGCCTTTACATTAAAATTTTAAATATACCTTCTATTTTCCTGAACTTACAGCTGCCGCCAAGGATTTTAAGAAACCTGAGGAGCCTTCCACATCAAATTTCGATCCAAGTCAGTTTCTGAATGCTGATGGATCCATTAATATGGAAAAATGGAAGAGTTTTCAACAAGAGCAAGAAAAAGTAACAGAAGCATTATACAAGCAGGCACAGGAGGAATTTGAATCTTCTGATCTTGCTAAAGAACTGACTCAACAGCTCCAGGATGGTCTAGCTGCTGGCAAGTGAAGTCTTGGCTCCTTCTAATTTTTTCGACCTTGAGTGCCTGTTAAGCCTGTGTTTCAATGACCATTGACCTTGCAGCTGCTCAGGAACAGGGTCTTACACCAGAAGATATTTCCAATCGGTTGAAAAATTTGAAACTTTTCTCTGGACAAGCACCACCTGCTGGCGATGATTCAAAAGAGAAAGAGTTCTCCGATGCCATCATGGGAGCAATGCAGAGCCTCAAGGAAAACCTCAGTGAAGCATTCCCAGCTGCGGTAAGAATCTATAATCAAAACCTATTGACATTATCTATGACTTCCTTCATTACAATTCTCTTTGCCAAGTACCTGTCAACAATATGAACTGCAAACAAGCGTGGGATCATGTAAAAATTTGTCTGATACCTTAAATCTCTTCTTCATGCCATTTATTTTCTAATTTGCTTGGAGTGACTTTGTTTCAAATTCGCAACAGAGGGATGGTGAGGAAGGCGATGGTGACGATGCTTCAGGGAATGACATGGAAAACTTAACAAATGTGATGCAACAGATGATGCTTGCATTGCTCTCTAAAGAAATGTTACTACCTTCCTTCAAAGAGATGTCTGAGAAAGTAAGTATAATTTTATTCAATTATTGATAAAATTTTGCTTCTCTCTAGCTGAGCCTCCCAGACTGTGATGCTGAACTCAGAGAATTCTCTCTGGTCATGCGAAATGTCATGAAATCTCTTCTGTCTAAAGAAATGATGCTCCCATCATTCAAAGAATTAGCAGAGAAGGTAATGTGTGGTGTCTAAAGTAACTCTGACTGTTTAGTTTGAAATTAATGTGCCTTGTGCTTGCGCATCAAACTAACAAACTGTTTTTAAAACATAAGGATCTAACTTTTAAAAAAGAATAAAAAAAAATTCAGTGTGTTGTCTTTTTAATAACTTAGCTTAATACTCTCACAGTTTTCTCATTGGCATAATGTCATACAATATGAAGTAGTTAGGCAAGTAAAGATCACCACACTTCATCTTCTTTCTCATTAGAACCAAAATTCAAAATGAAGTGACATTTAGTAACATTTAGTGACCTTGTTTGGTTTGTGTTTGTGTTTTCTGAGTTTTTAAGTTCAATGTCCATACCTGTGCATGATACTTTTGTTTACATTACCGAGTTTTGATAAACACTAGTGTTTTGAACTCATGAACCTATTATTACTCTTATCTGTAACATTTAAAGTTCCATTGAAAATATATGAAAATATTTGTTTTAGTACCCAGCCTGGTTAGAAGAAAACAAATCAAAACTGAGTGAAGAGGATTTGAAGCGGTACACTGCTCAGCTTGAGGTTGTGCAAAAAATCGTTGCAGAACTTGAAAAAGAAGGTGAAGGAGACAAGGAGCATCTAGATCACATGATTGAGCTAATGGGAAAGGTAGGCCTCGGTTTGAAACAATTTGCTCTCAGCCACTCTTCAAGCTCATTAAATCTTTTGGACTTATTCATGTTTGCTTTGTCCTTACTTCAGGCTCAGGAGTTGGGACAGCCACCTCAGGAACTCACTGCACAACTTGGTAATGCTATTGATGATTCTAAAATTGATGCGATGCTGAAGGACAGTGGAGCTGATCAGTGCAACATCATGTAAGCAGACATTTTACAATAATTCATGATGTGAAAACATTAAGGTAGTGAGCTGGGGACTTTAACATCAAAAATCTCTTGTGTTTTCATTTATCTGTTTGTTGTTGTTATTCATTTTCTAATTCAGTTTCATTGAACATAGATTGTCAAATCTCTGTGTTATCTTTTAATGGTAGCTGTTCTAGTTTAGTTCATTTATGTTTGTTGTTTTGTTTGTTTCCTGTCTTTCTTGTTTTTCTCGTTATTGGGAATCCTACCACCCAGCACATAAGAGAGTGGAGTACTGAGTATATCCAACACCTTCTCAACCACCTCACTAGCCCTTTTCATAAGAGCTTCCATTGTCCTCTGAGTCATCTGTGATCATTTTTTACTGCATATGTTGTGTACTGAATTTTCCATGGCCTAAGGTACATTTTTATCTTTGATATTTCTTTATGAATTGCTAAAATCTTAGATTGTATCTCTGCCGACTTTTAAAATGAGGGTTTTGTCATCTACTGAATTCATTCAGTTATTGTGGGTGTTGAGTCTTCAACATTATTTGATGTTACTGCAAACAAGATCTTATTTATCAATAGACATGATGTATCTTATCATCTTCATCCAATGTTGTATAATATATGTGATGATTTCATCAAAATTTACAATTTAATTCAGTGCTCAATGACTTTGGTTTTAAATAGTGCTCTCTGTTATTGTTTCATTTCAAATGTGCTTCAATGGTTCTTTGTTTATACATTGAAGTGGGTGGACGTCTAATATATTCTACAATTTTCATTGTCAATATGGTCGGTTGTTTTATCTTTTGTAAAAGAATTTATCTTATTGGTAATTCTTTCTCTGGCACTTATGTGTGTGTGGCTATTTTTGTTGGAAGCACAGAATTAAGACTTATAAAGTGTGGTGCTGTGTGGGTGTTTAAATCAGCTGTGCTTGGATTGGAAAAACTTTCTTTGTCAGCAATAAAAGTATAATTTTGCATGACTCATGTTTATTTTTCAAACCAGTCTTCTAACCTGAGAACCATTCTCTACATTTTTTTCTATTTTAGAAAATTAAAACGGAGTAAAAGATGAGAGGAGGTTAAATTAATACAATATTCATCAGATGCTGTGTTTCAACGTCTGAAATTTAGTGATAAGGAAGTGGAGTAGTAATGAATAATCGTCTATGACTTATAATTGACAAAACTATCATTGCTAGTGAAGGACTATTTCATCTCAAATTCACTAAAATAGAAGTAGACTACATAAAGCTGAGGCCATGTGTTCACATGTTTATTCTTTAACAATTCAATGGACGACAAAAAAGATGACATTATCATATTTTAGAACACTACTTGAAACAAAAACACCAGAATAATAATAACACTCGATATGCATTGGTGACGTCAGTGAAGGTGGCCGGTCAACCCCTCATCCACCATAGCAGTATGGAGAGGCCATTGGTAGGAGCAGATGCATTGCTACCCCTCTATGGAGAGACTGTGCCTCCATTCATTTGTTTGGCTCTCCATATTGCAACCTAGCAGTCACTGTGTTACAATCTAAAGTCCCAAAATAACAAATTTTCGTTCCTGGGTATGGATTTGAGTGATAATTTGCTCATGCCTATTAACGCAGGTGGTCAGTATGGCCGTCAGTAAATTACCCCTCCTCCTCCCCCCCCCCCTCCCCGTCCGCTCTTTTCTCCATCCACAAGCGTATGTAGTTGAGATTAACAGAAGTTTTTGTGAGATCAGCATAAATTTGGGGTGTGTTTTGACGATCCGCAACGATGGCCACCCTCACTGACGTCGTGGGGACCGTGGCGCGCCTGCCCACTCGTTGAGCGCTTCGGACTCCAGCCAGTGGGTCCACCGCAGAGGCCACGGCACGGCGCTGCGGCCATGGCCGCGCGCCCTGGTGGCCCTAGTGGCCCTAGAGGCACTGCAGGCCCAAGTGCTGCGGGGGACCCACGATGCCCAAGCGCTGCTGGAGATACAGGGGCAGGGGAGCGCGGTTAAACTGAGTCGGTGTTCGGGGAAGTCCCAGGGTGTGCCGGGATGGAGGCATGCGTAGGGACAGAAGCGTGGAGCGGTGCGCGCCGACCCGTGGTGTCGGAGCCCGCGCGGCCCTGCAGCAGACTGGTAGACTGGTGTTGATGCCCCCGTGCGCCTTCTCGACGGGGTGGTCCAGCAGCAAGCTCCAAGCGTTGCCGTTGCGGACGGCAGCCAACGGCAGGGCAGCGCGGAGGGAGGCTGGGAGGGGGCTCGTCTCGGACATCGCTTAGTGCGGGCTGCGCTCAGCAGGTCGACGGTAGGTCCTCAACTGCAATCAAACAAGTTGTTGGTCTTTCCACAGGCTGGTTCATAGCGAGAGGTCCCGTCTGTCTCTCTCGCACCCTTTGTGTATGAGTGCGGGAGAGAGACGTCATAGCAGGGCAGCCGTGCACACTGGCACACTCACTCACCCAGCGGCGCAGGAACAGGCGGTTGGCCACGGCGTTGTACGGGTCGGCCTCCTCGTCGCTGTCCGCCCTGTCCAGGTCGCCGCCGTCGCCGCGCAGCATCCTCGCGGGTGGCGCCAGCGACCTGCCCCAGAGGGGCGCGCGGGAGCTAACTGCGGGGGCAGCACCACCGTAAACAAGTCAGAAATCGGCTGCAGCGGCGATCAACATGAGTTGGTGGTTGTGAAGATTCGAACCTGGAGTCTGCCGGAGGATGATGAGGGTGGCGTCGTTGGCGTCGCCGGCGTGCAGGCCGGGCGCGCCCAGAGGCACGCCCAACCCCAAGGGCACGCCGCGCGCGCCGTCCAGCTCCACGGCGGGCACGGTGGCCTTGTCCTCCGCCTCCGCCTGCATCCCGGCCTGCATCCCCGCGTCGGCGTCGCGGTCCGCCTGGCCCTCCGCCTGGCCCCGCTGGTCGCGCGGCATGGCCAGCGGCAGAGGCGCCACCAGCGCGCCGCCGCCGCGCTTGCCGTAGCCGCCGAAGCAGGAGTGGCCGTACGCCGAGCAGCCCCCTGCAACACGCCCAGCCCGGGACGACGCCGGCGGTAAGGCAGCGGCGCGGTCTGGGGTACGATTCATCGCCCCGTCTCTCTCGCACTCGCGGGGCGTTCCTCAATGGTGGGGGAGAGACAGAGCGACGAAACTGGGTGGACGGGGCAGGGCAGGGTGGATCCGAGTGGTGAGTTGAGGCCCCAAAAGGGCATACAGGACATGAGCCCCGTCCCGTTTGAGCCCCGATGGTCTGAGCCCCGACCTGAGCCCCAACCTGAGCCCGGGTTGAGCCCCGACTTGAGCCCCGACCCAAGCCCCAATTTCTAGAGCCCGGATTGAGCCCCGACCTGAGCCCCGTTTGAGCCCCATTTGAGCCCCATTTGAGCCCCACTTGAGCCCCATAGCAATAAATTATGCAAAAATGCGTGATTTCAGGTCGCGGGGCTCAAATGGGGCTCAAGTGGGGTTCAAATGGGGCTCAAACGGGGCTCAGGTCGGGGCTCAATCCGGGCTCTGGAAATTGGGGCTTGGGTCGGGGCTCAAGTCGGGGCTCAACCCGGGCTCAGGTTGGGGCTCAAGTCGGGGCTCAGACCATCGGGGCTCAAACGGGACGGGGCTCATGTCCTGTATGCCCCCAAAAGGGGGCCTAGCATCGGGGACCAGGGACCACTGTCACGGTGTGCGGTTCGCCCAGATTCAGACAAACGAACAAACCGGATAAGAGATGAAAGAGCATGCTTTAGTCCTTCCCCCGTTTTCACGCCGCACGCCGCGAAAAAGACACAAGGGATGAGTAAAAGAAACCTCCCAGCCACGAACCCAGGGAAATCATTCGTCACCGGTTTCCTACCAGGGCCGCCCGGGCATGCCGGACTCGAAACGCTTGCGTTCGTGCACCTGCGGACATACACTTGACAAAATACAAAATAATAGGAGTGGAACAAAAACACTGGCAGCTCTACTTCCTGTCCATCATCGCAGTCAAGCCCGAAAGAAGCGGAACGGGGCGGGCCGGCGCGTTCACTACACTGATTCAGTCGGGGAAGGGGCCTCCGCCATGCTTCATGCTTCCCGTGCTGTGATTTATACAGAGAGCCGCCGCCCCGCCGCGCTGCGCTCTGCAAGCTAGCTGGCATGCCGTGAGATGGGCAAGGGCGAGGCAGGCGAGGCAGGCGAGGCAAGGGCAGACGCATGCAGTGCGGGCGAAACGAGTTTGGACTGACTGTTCAGAGTAGATTTATTTAATAAGGACAGGCCCTTACAGTGACCCCTTTCGATTTCCGCGGTTGATGGCTTGGCAGATTGCTTACCTAAGTAGATGTCCAAAAATAAAATATTAGGTCGCTCGAAGCCTTCTTGGCTGAGTTATAGCTAACTTTGTTTTTATTTCTTAAAAAAGCTGGGTATTTTGGGTATTTTTTATACGAGACGTACTTTTTAAGCCAGGTGGATGAAAATTGGCTCTGTTGTGCAAAATTAAATAAGGAACACGATGGTGCCCTCAGAATTGATCTACGACCAATACTTGCGGAGATATCGGCCTCCAAAGTTGAAAAAAAGGGCCAAAATGTACGAAAATACCCAAATCTTGGGATTTTGGAAACTATTGGACCCATTGACACGACTCAACGCTCATGTTGTAGAAAAAAAGCCACGGAATCCAATGAGCTCCCGCGCAGGTCCGTGAGACTAACCGTTCAGGAGATACGCGGCTCTAAAGTTAGCCATTTTTCATAGGGTGCCGAAAACGTTGTTTTTGCACCTTTTCAGACTGTTGAGCCTTCAGCGACACGTATCCTGCCTGCCTTCGCTGAGAGCTCGGCTCAGGGGAAGGCGATACTGTGGCGAAACGCAGCCCACTGGCAGATTAAAGAAGAGGCTCTCAGAAGAGGTGCTCAGGAAGAAAAACACCGCTGAGGGAGCCACCATCCACGCAGTGCATTAGCCCGTCCCGATTGAGCCCCGATGACCTGAGAGCCCGGGTCAGAGCCCCGGCCGAGCCCGACTGAGTCCCGATGGCCCCAGACCTGACCTGAGCCCCATTAGACCCCATTTGAGCGCCGCGCCAAAAAAAATGTTGCAATTTGACGCAAAATCTTCACAAAAACTGTTCAAAACGGAAGTTTTTTTTTGGCGTGGAGCTTAAGTAGGGCTCGCTCAAACCGGGCCCAAGCCGGGGCTCTGACCATCGGGGCTCGAGTCAGGTTCGGCCTGGGCTCTGGCCCGAGGGGTCCACCACTCAGCTCAGGAGTGTACACAGGATGTGATTACCTACAAAAATACTTAACAAACTCTATTATTTTAGCCAGCCAAGAGCATGTGTGGCCTATTTTCATAGGAGCCCCCCCCCCCCAGAATCCGATAAAAACAGCGAAAATAGCAGGTTTTGGCGTGTAATTACTAATGATTACTGGAAGAAGTGTACACACGATTACCAGAGTGTTTGACCCCTCGCTCTGGCCGGGGCGGGCGGGGGCTTACTGCGACGAAGTGCCGGCCCATAGGCCCTGACCCTACTCAGTCCCGCCCCTGACCCGCCCGGTCGCCCCATAGGAATCCGGCTAAGCCTTGGCTAAGCCCCAGCAGAGTCCGTCCGAGTCAGGCCAAGCTGTAGGAGTGGTCTGGCCCGATTGAGCCGCGATGACCTACCCCAGACTCCGATGAAGTCCTGGCCTATAGGCCCCGATCCGACCACCCGACTCGGCTCCGACCCGGCTCAGACTCTGTCCAGACCTGGCCGACACCCGGTCGTCCTATCCGGCTAGTCTTGCACTGTGGGAAAAAATCACAGTAAATCCTGTAGTGATTAGTACAGCGGTCACTGTAGTTCAGAGTACAGGATTTACTGTACTTTTGTAACAGGATCTACTGTAGTTTCTACGGGATTTACTGTACCACAGGAGTGGAGTACGGAATATCCTGTACCAGGTACAGTAGATACTGTAGCCAGGCACGGTAAATCCTGTGTTCTGAACTACAGTAAATCCCGGCAAAAAAATTAACGGGATTCACTGTGGTTTTTTCGCACAGTGTGGCTAAGCCCCGGCACTGTCCGACCGAGTCCGGCCAAGTGAGGTCACGGTGTAGGAGGGCACCACACGAAGAGTGGTCTCCCTACACCGTGAGTCCGGACTGGGGCGGGTTCCGCCGGACCACTCTAACAGCGTGGCCTGACCCGGCCGGACTCTGCCGGGGCTTAGCCGGATTCCTCTAGACCGACCGGCCCGACCGGGTCAGGGCCTGTGGGCGGAGACTTCGTCGGTGTCAAGGTCGAGCCCAGGCCAAGCCCGACTCGAGCCCCGACTAGCCCCGTTGGTCAGAGCCCCGACCTGGGCCCGGTTTGAGCCACACGCTAAAAAAAAATTCCAATGCTGACGCATTGCACGGTGTACCGGTTGTGGAAATCAATTTGAAGTCTGTCGTCTAAACGTTAATTACGTTAATGTTACCGTTATTTACGTAACTTTGAAACCTACCGGTATTTTTATATCCCCAAACCTGATTCAGTTAACACAGTGACCATCTCAGTCCATCTCGCGATTTAAAGTGCTCATGTTCGTCAAACGAAAATCACCCAAGTTCCGAAACCACCACTCCCGAGTTTATAAAGTTTGTCAAACCAACCGTGGTGCTGGTTACAGAATTGAGGAAAACATCACAAGAGAACCGCAATCTTTTAAAGCAAGCCTAACAATCCAACCTCAGCAACGATGGAGGGGCAGTTTCAATGCGCGACTACTCGTTTTTTCAGCCTCGCGGTTTTCGAAAGGGCGCAGACGCCGAGAAAATTGTTGCCAACCCCCGAAAATTAATTTATTGCGTCTTTTCTGCTACGAACTTTTTATTCACAGACTTCAAAGATGTTCCAATGTCGTGACACCGTGCAATGCGTTAGCATTGGCATTTTCGAATTTCACGGCGTTTTGATTTCTTTTTTATCAGCGACTTTAAATTTTGACAGTTGGTACGATGGCACGGTGTCGTTGCCATGGAGACTTTTTTTTCATGTTTTAACCATTTTCTCTGAACACAGACGATTTTTCGTCACTTTGATGAGGCAGGAGGTTTAGTTTTGAGGAGTGGCACTATTTCTCTTTGAAACGTTTCTGGAAAATGTGGACGGATAAGGGTGCTTGATTGTTTCAAATTTATGTTTTAGTCGTTTACGTTAAATTCTCACGATAAATTTTCGAAATTTTCAGGAATTTTTATTTGATTATAATAACAAGTAATTTGGCGGGAACCATTTTTCGATTTGCGTCGGCGGAAGGAAAAGAATCTGGGCCGTCAAAAACAATAGGGGTCCTCCTTAACCCCTAAAAAATCCGTCTTTGAACTGTTTTTTTTTGTCAAATTGCAACATTTTTTTGGCGCGGGGCTTAAATGGGGTCTAATGGGGCTCAGGTCAGGTCTGGGGCCATCGGGACTCAGTCGGGCTCGGCCGGGGCTCTGACCCGGGCTCTCAGGTCATCGGGGCTCAATCGGGACGGGCTAATGCACTGCGTGGATGGTGGCTCCCTCAGCGGTGTTTTTCTTCCTGAGCACCTCTTCTGAGAGCCTCTTCTTTAATCTGCCAGTGGGCTGCGTTTCGCCACAGTATCGCCTTCCCCTGAGCCGAGCTCTCAGCGAAGGCAGGCAGGATACGTGTCGCTGAAGGCTCAACAGTCTGAAAAGGTGCAAAAACAACGTTTTCGGCACCCTATGAAAAATGGCTAACTTTAGAGCCGCGTATCTCCTGAACGGTTAGTCTCACGGACCTGCGCGGGAGCTCATTGGATTCCGTGGCTTTTTTTCTACAACATGAGCGTTGAGTCGTGTCAATGGGTCCAATAGTTTCCAAAATCCCAAGATTTGGGTATTTTCGTACATTTTGGCCCTTTTTTTCAACTTTGGAGGCCGATATCTCCGCAAGTATTGGTCGTAGATCAATTCTGAGGGCACCATCGTGTTCCTTATTTAATTTTGCACAACAGAGCCAATTTTCATCCACCTGGCTTAAAAAGTACGTCTCGTATAAAAAATACCCAAAATACCCAGCTTTTTTAAGAAATAAAAACAAAGTTAGCTATAACTCAGCCAAGAAGGCTTCGAGCGACCTAATATTTTATTTTTGGACATCTACTTAGGTAAGCAATCTGCCAAGCCATCAACCGCGGAAATCGAAAGGGGTCACTGTAAGGGCCTGTCCTTATTAAATAAATCTACTCTCAAGGCCATGCGTGGGAGCACGTTCAACGTTCAACACAGCTTCGGCTGGATCTGGTCAATTTCAATGGAAATGTTTCTCCTGTCGGGAGGCGAGGGCTGCAAGACGGAGAAACAAAGAAAGTCTTCATGCGGGTGAAAATAAAAATACAGACGCCGCGGCGCTGGTGGGATTCGAACCCGCCAGCAACCGAGTGCAGCCCAAACTGTGTGAAAGTGAAACACGTGCCGATTTGAGGGTGAGTACTCACTTCTCGTTCCCTTTAGTTTTCTCTCGAATGGAGACCTAAGCTGTCGAAAAAAGAAGTCTTCACTGTCTGTAAAACAAACAAGTTGCAAACAAGTTTAAAATAAGCGGGAAAGGTTCTGTTGCACACGCAGGTTAGAAAGCTCACACTTGAGGGACATAAACACTTTGTTTGCAGCCATGGACTGTTTTTTATTAGAAGCCTTCTCTATAAGCCGCTACTATCACACAGATCCCCGTTGTGGGTCCGACAGGCAAACCAGTCTCCCAGACTCCCCTACTTAGTTTGGTGCGGGACCAAGTAGCCAGCACTTTAAACTTCAGTTTGAAATAAGTTCAGGTAAGGTGATGTTTATTTAGCTCACGCTTTGGTCTTCTAAGTCTACAACTATTCGCTACTGCTGCCACTACCGTACAAGGAGGGCCACCGGACAGGGCGCCTTTGCCGCCTCGCTCACCTCGCTCACCTCCTGAAACAGAAAAACACGCAGGCAGAGTCACTACACTGGCAGTGTCCTGGAAAATGGAAAAAGAGGCACGAGTTGCTCTGTTCACACTGTCAGAGATATCAAGGCAACCCATGCGACGGTCGCGCGGGTTACGGGTTGTTGCAGGTTGGCACCACTGCCACGATGGCGGGGCTGCGTTGCCCAGCGGGGCGCTTTGCCGGCTTTCCCCGCCGCGCCACTGCAATACTTTGCCTGTCCTTGGCTCGGCGGGATCGCTGTCTTTCGTCGCTCTTCCACCGAGACCGGGCCGAACATCAGTCAAAAGCAACTAGCATCCCCGCAGGGCCCCCTCAGGCTGTCGCGGATCGCTGAAATGTGGACGCCCTCGCCCCCAACCCCCGCCCCCAACGAGCCCCAGGGCGTCAGCAGCTCGGCCGGCATTCCTGTGCCTCGTCAGACCCGTCCCGACTTCCGGGCACTCCCAGGCACTCCCAGGCACTGCGAGTCAATCGGGTGGGCAGGACCTACCATAGGTGGAGGGGCGTGGGGTGGGGAGTCGGCACGAGCTGGCGGTGGCGCACTGGCAGGGCGGGCTGGACGCTCGCCTGACATGCCTGCGGGCCCTGCGGGCTGATGCCGAACATGGCTATGGTCGCTCCGACTCGCTCGCACTCGTGGGGACTGCCGTAGGGGCGAGAGAGAGAGACAGCGACGAGGCAGTGATCGGAAACAAGCAACTGCTGCAGACATGCCTACGCAAACCGCGCGTCGCCCGGCCGCAACGCATGGACCCCGCCAGCCCCGCCAGCCCCGTGCGCGGCCTGCCAGCCTGACATTGTCCTGCCGCCCCCCGCCGCTCCGTCAGCCGCACACACCACCGCGGCAGGGCGGCCCGCTAAACTGCTCGAAAAAATTAGAGTTTACGTGTCGAGGGTGCGGGTGGCGTCGCGGTGGCGTCGCGGTGGCGGTCTCCCCCGAGTGGCATCGCTCCTCATCAGGGCTGCCTAAAGCGGGCGCTAACTGGCACTTTTTCCTGCACACTGCCGCGCCCGTGACCCATGACCTCGGGGCGTCTCTGGCCGGGCGTGCGTGGTGGGCCGCGGTGGGCCGCGGTGGGCCGTGGTGGGCCAAGGGGGCGGGTCTTGGGGCGGGCCGCGCGCACGCCCTGCCCCCACCTGCTCGGCCCGCGCCCAGGAATTAAAACTCCAAACGCAGCCGTGCGGAGGGACCGGTTGGCACCGAGCGCAAGCCGAGCGCAAGCCGAGCGCAAGCCGAGCGCAAGCCGAGCGCAAGCCGAGCGCAAGCCGAGCGCAAGCCGAGCGCAAGCCGAGCGCAAGCCGAGCGCAAGCCGAGCGCAAGCCGAGCGCAAGCCGAGCGCAAGCCGAGCGCAAGCCGAGCGCAAGCCGAGCGCAAGCCGAGCGCAAGCCGAGCGCAAGCCGAGCGCAAGCCGAGCGCAAGCCGAGCGCAAGCCGAGCGCAAGCCGAGCGCAAGCCGAGCGCAAGCCGAGCGCAAGCCGAGCGCAAGCCGAGCGCAAGCCGAGCGCAAGCCGACCAGCGCAAGCCGAGCGCAAGCCGAGCGCAAGCCGAGCGCAAGCCGAGCGCAAGCCGAGCGCAAGCCGAGCGCAAGCCGAGCGCAAGCCGAGCGCAAGCCGAGCGCAAGCCGAGCGCAAGCCGAGCGCAAGCCGAGCGCAAGCCGAGCGCAAGCCGAGCGCAAGCCGAGCGCAAGCAGTCCTCGGAGTTGAGCAAAACAAAAAGCCGTCTCCGTCGCGAGCGCCTGTCAATGCGAGGCCAGGCCGCCACGCCGTACAGCCGTGCCGCCGGGTTGCCCGAATCCGCCCCTGCTGGTATTCCGCCAGTGGAGGCGGAATGAAGGACTCAAACAGAGCGACGCCAATCCGACTTCGGTCGCCAAAGGCAGAGTCGCGCCACGGGCCACTCCTTCACTCCCGAACGCTCTTCGAAAATCTCGGCTCACCGGAAGTTCGCCTTCGCTCTCTGGCCGTATTCACGACTTTGCTGGTGGACCAAAGAACTGCGTTCTGAATTTCCCGGCACTTTTTTTAGAGAAAGAACACCCGGAACACGTTGGGGGTACTATAGCTCCCTGGAGCCGCGGCGCGGCGGCGCGTACCACGGCAGTCCTCAGCTATCCGGGCCAGCGAAAGCCACGCACGGCCTCGCCCCGCCCCCCGCCCCACCCCGCCCGGGACTCCTTGTCACGCCGTCCACATCAGCCGCGGCTTCCGGGACTTCCCCAGGAGGTCAGCCGGCCTCGGCCCACCGCGGTGCACCGCGGCCTCAAGAGCCAACAGGGAGGCTATCTCCGCGGCGCAGGGGCGGGCCGGCGGGCACGCGGGGCCGCTAAAGCGAGGATTGCGTCTTTATGTGGACGTTTATGTCAGCGAGGAGGCACCGCGGTGCGGCGTGGCAGGGCGTGGCAGGGGCATGGCGCAGCGGTGTGTGCACAACTGGCGGCCGCGGCGCGCGCCACGGAGACTTGTTGCGACGCGGCGCACAACGGGAGCTCCATTTCGCACAATGCTTCGACGCTCTGTCTGTCTCGCTCCCACGCGGGGCGGAAGCAGTGTGACGAAAGCACCATTCCAAATATGCAAGAGGGAACGTTCGCTGCTCAAAACACGGCCGACAGTGGCGGCCGCCTGAATGGGTCTTCGCCGTCCATCCGCGTGGCGTGCCAAATCCGAGGGGAGGACGCGGCAAACGACACCTGAGCGTGCCGCGTCGTGTCGTGCGCACAACTGAAAAGAAAATTAAAAAAAAATTGTGATGTCGCGTTGCGCGTCCAGGAATTTTATATTCCAGGACTTAATTATGTCGACGGTAATAAACATGATGAGGCGAGTGGTCCCGGAGGGCCGGCCGTCACTCAGGGAGTCGGACCCACGGCCAAGCCAGCCAAGCCCTCGGCGCGGCCAAGGGCACCTGCACCAGAAAAACTACCAAACAACTATGAAAACGCAGAAAGCACGTCGTCAACGCGCGGACGGACGGACAACGCGCGCGGCTTGCGGCCTAGCACATTTGGCACCACACCGCCATCGCTGTGTGGCCGGCGAGAGCCGAGGGCGGTCACGAGTGTGGCCACATTTGCCTAGTAATGAAAGGCGGTGCAAGTGCTCGGGGCGGGGCGGGGGCGGGGCGGGGGCGGCTCGGCTCGGCGGCCCGCGCGGGTAGGCACTTGGACTGCGTAATGCCGCGACGCCACAACGCCGCCCTTCTCGCCGCTCGCGCGGGGATTCCATGCATTCCAAACAGAAAACGCTGCGGCGGGGATCGAACCCCCGCCGTGCTTTCATGACGGCTCCGGTTACGCGGTGCGCGACTGCCCCTAACAGTGGTGGTGCTGTGCTGGGCGCACCGCACCCACCTTTGGCGGTTTTTCGGTTCCCCGGTCGTGATTCCAAGTACTGCGCTTTCGGCATTCGGTTTCCAGCACGCTGGGCTGGATCCACATGGAGGCTCGTCGCTGCCTCTCTCGCACACCCGGAAAACGCTCACTTTGAGTTCTTTGAACGAATGATAAATGATTACCGCGTGTGCCGCCTTTCAATTTGGAGTAGGTTCTTTGACTCGCTTTGACTTAACGGAAACCTGTTCCTGGGCTCATGCCATGAGTGCAAGAGAGACAGAGCGACGACGGCGATGTGCGGTGTCAGTCGGCGGGGCACCGCACCGTGGCCCCGCAAGGGGTGCAGGCCGTCGCGCTGGAGACGCGCCCGAGGCGCACCCCGCGGCAGCCCACCGCCCTCGTCTTCGTCTTGCTCCTCCTCCCGACCCTAAGGACGCGGGCCGGCCGAGGGCCGAGGCGGACTCACGTTTTGCTGCGGCCGCGTTGACGGTCACCGCCCACAGCATCCCCAAGAGCACGAGCGACGTCGCGGTCCTCATGGTGCTCGTCGGCCCCCGCTGGGCGCTGCGCTGCTGGGTGCGCTGCTGGTTGGCGTGGCGGCGCGTGGCTCCTGCAGCACCTTCACTCCGCGCCGACCGATGCGCCCTCTCACTGCACTGCTGCACTCGGTGGGCTCGGCGCGGACTTGGCCCTGTGTCCGCGGGCTGGGCTCGGTCCCAGGCTGTGCTGTGTCGCGGGGCGGCGGGGCGGCTGTCGGGCTGCCGGGCTGCCGGGGTAGCGGCTGGGCCTCGGGCTGGGGTTGAAATGGTCGAGGCGGCGCGGCCCGCGCGCTTATCATCCCCCCAGAAGCAACAGGCTCCCGTAGGGCAGCGGGGCGGGGGAGGGCAGCGGAGCGGCGTCCCGGCGCACCGTCCCGCGCCGTCCCGCGCCGTCCCGGCGGGTGGTGCGGGTCGCACGGGGCGCGCCACGGCGGAAGGGCGGAATCAAAGTTGAATCACTTCCCGCTGAAGAAACAAAAACAAACCGTGTCCGGCGGGAAGTGCGTCGCAGACTCGCAGGAGGGTCCGGAAATCGCGGACTTTTGGTCTGAAACTAGCAAGGTTTTTTGAGCCTGTCGGTCATGGTTGCGGTGTGCATGGTCACTGTCGAGGTGGCCATGGCCATGGTTTCGACCAAAGCTCACCAATTTCATGGCCGTGGTTTGGGCCCATCCATGAACGGGGCCAGGGCAATAACACCATCGCACGGCGACCATGGTTCGACGACCATGGGTAGCCAAGCCGGGCACGTAACCATGATGAGCCTTATGGTTCTTCTAGCCAGGGACGGAGGGCGCGCACCCCATTGTATACTTCCGGTGCATCTTGCGTGTCGAGCTGGGGCTTCGCGCCCTCTCCAGCCCCTCCTGCCTGCCCCTCCCCCTCCGGCAAGTTAATATAAAAAGGCGCGAGGAGGGTCTCGGAGGGAAACTAGAGCGAGTTTATCCAGCCGTCACCTGCCGGCCCTCCGCCCTGTGGGGCCACAGTGTGGGCCCCGCTGGCTGCGCTGCCGTGCTGCTGCGCTCCCCATGTCTGCGCGCCGGGGCCGGGCGAGCCGCTTATTTTTGTGGCCTCGGCCAAATCCCTTGACCTTCGCACTCTGGGCAGATGAAACATATTTCTTGTTCCCGTCTACCGCCACCGTGGCGGCGCGGCGTGGCGGCGTGCAGCCCTGGCTGCTGAAGCCGCGAAGCCCAAGGCGAAGCCTGGCCTAGCCCGGAAGGCGTAATATCAACTCCGCGTGTGCCTCGAGAAAAAAAAGGGAAGGATTTTTTGGCAGTCTCGGTGGTTTAGCGCGTCCGTTCATGCTCAACCCTTCCTCACTGAAGGACAGCAGCCACGGCCGCTGCTTCCCGAAAGTGATGCTCTGCGTGTATTCTTTTCTCCTGAGGTGCTCCCCCTCCCCCGTTTGGCATCTCCCCGGGATTGAAATGGAATGGCCCTGGGTTCGCGCAGCCACCGCCCCGTCCCGTCCGCCCCGTCCGGGCTGCCCATCGCTCACTACCACAAACAAGGGGAGGGAGGGGTGCGGGTTGGTGGGCCGCGAGTGGCGATGTGATTCTAGGAACGAAAAGGAAGACGTGAACATCCTGGCTCTCTTGCTGATCGAGCCCAATCGAGCCCTGCCTTCACTGCCTCGCCCTGCCCGGTGCTGCCGCCTGGCGCGGTGCAGGCCGGTACTACCTTACTCAGCGGCTGGCTGTCCTGCAGACCGATCCCGAGAGCTGTTTTCGTCGCTGTCTCTCTCGTTCTGATAGGGCGTTCCGCCCAGGTGCGAGAGAGACAGCGAAGGAAGCGACCCTGGAAATCTGCTGCCGCACGCTTCTATCACTACCGGCCTCAATGCTCGGCGGGCCAGGCAGGCAGGCACCGGGCCACAAGAGAAGGAAAGTCGGGAAAACTCTCATCCGACTGTGATTAAGGAGCTGTCGACGTTACAGCAGAGCAGCCGCCCGAGTCCGGGGGATGGTTCCGTCGCTCTCTCGCACCAATGGGGTGTTCCGTAGGGTGGTGAGAGAGAAAGAGCGACGAAACGATCCACTGGGATGAGGCGGCTGGGGGATCCACGCAGCCCGAAGAAGTCTGCGGGCGGGACTGACGCAGTGGCGGCTCCAGGCTCCAGGGCCATGAAGGCCATGAAGGTCATGCCTCCCTTCCGCCCTGAAAGGCAGGCAACGGGCACGATACTCCGCCCGAATGTGGGCAAAAGGTGTGACATGGCGAAGTGCGAGAAACAATTCTAGAGACGGAGCTGGGCTGCAGCTAGGGGCTAGGGACGCGGCGCGGCGTGGCGGGCCGGACGGTGGACGACGTCAGCCGATACGACGTCAGCAGCAGCGCCGTGCAGCCAGACTGCCAGTGCGGCTCGCGCGCGCGACGGGATGCCTGCCTCAACGGCGACGTCGGCTCGCTTGCGGTTGGCGGGGCGTGGCGTGGCGGGGCGTGGCGGTGTGGCGTTAGCAGCGCGTGGCGCGGCGTGGCAACGGGGTCGGCCGACTTGTCCTCCCACCGGATTCGCGACGCGCTCGCCAAATAATGCCGTTGTGCAACGTGCCCTGGTACTTGGCCTGCCCGGCCTGCCCGGCCTGCCTGGCTTGCTTAGCGGCCGTTTCCACAGTGGACCAGTCACAGTCCCCCGCGGGGCACCAGGGGGGCTCCAGCCAACGCAAATCAATGACGGCCAGGCTCGCGGTCGCGCGGTCGCGGGGGCAGAGAGACAGAGAGTCGGAGACAAAGAGACCGAGGGACGCGGCGAGGCCTGGCGGTGGCGGTGGCTGGATCGGTGCTCGCGCCGACCGCAGCCGGGCGACACGAACACGAAATCAGACCGGCAGTGCCGGCAGCCAGGAAATCCAAATCGAAGCTCTGCGAAGCACCCTGGGTGAGCCCGAGGGATTCCGAACGTCCCAAGTGCGCCCCCTTATCCAGTTTAGTGGGGCAAAAAGCTTTCCAGGTTGAGCTTTATGCAGGGCTATAGCACAAGCCTTACAGCTTCAGCTATATGTGCTGTACTACAGGACAAACCGTCTCTCTCTCGCTGTCATGGGGCGTCCCGGCGCAGGTGCGAGGGAGACAGCGCGACGAAAACGGCTCTCGGAATCTGTCTTCTGCGGCGAGGCGGTGCGGCGTGCGCACGCGAGGTTTGGCGTGCATCTGGCGTGCCTTTGGCGTGCCTGCTCCGCGGAGGCCCTTTTGTCGCAGTCACGCGTGCGGGTAAGCAGCGGGGGCGCTCGCGGCGCGCGGCGCACGCAGTGCAGGCGGAGGCATCAGGAAGCCCCGCGCGGCGCGCCTTGCCTTGCGCCTTGCCCAACGCGTCTCCGCGAAACAACCGCCGCGCCACTCCGCCTTGGCTGCGCCACCGGCATCGAGTTCGTTAGGGATTTCTATAGAGGGCCCCGAACCTATGTCCCGGCCAGTGGTCGACGCATTCCGAAAGTCGTTTTCGTCGCTCTGTCTCTCTCGCGCTTAAACTGGGCGCCCCACGAGTGCGAGAGAGACAGAGCGACAGAAACGACTCTCGGAATCAGTCCGCTGCTTGCATGGCATGGCTTGGCCGCGACCGCAAATACCTTGACGCGGCACGCGGTTCCCTTTGCGTCGGACCGCGCCGCGCCGCGCCGTGCCGTGCCGCGCCAGACCTTGCCGATCCGAAAGGGCCGATCCGAGCCGAGACTTGGATGTTTGCTTAACCGTCTTGCAACAAATTAGGCAAGACAAGGCTTCGCCAGCTTCGCGCTTCGGGCCGACGGCGCGGTGCGGCGCGGTGCAACCGGGGAGGGCAGGAACAGAAGAGCGCACTGTTGAATCGGCCAGGGTACAGAGATGAGTCTCAGAACTGTCCTATGTACTGCTGGGCATTCGGTATTTGAACCGGGGCTGTAAAGTTGGAGAATGGCGTCGCAGAGCACCCGGCCGGTGGGTGGCCGTCGCGGTGCAGGTACATGCGACCAGGCGGCTTCCGTCCTGCGCCCTGCCCGAGGCCCTGCCTATCAGCGAGGCGACCAAGGTGCAGCCGGGTGGTTCGGAGAACCCTTTCCGTCGCTCTGTCTCTGTCGCACTCAAGAGGCGTTCCGCTGGGGTGCGAGAGAGACAGAGCGACGAAACGGTCCTTCGGAATCACTCGGCAGGCGGCCGAAAAACGAGCGGGCGACAAGCAGACGACGGTGCGTGAGCGGACCTTCAAGTAGCAGACGACGCGATCGTCCTCACCGCGCCTCGTCGCCCTGTCTCTCTCGCACCCACGCGGTCCGCGTGAGGCGCCCCGTGAGTGCGAGAGAGACGGCGTGACGAAGGCGATGAACTGCCGGCCCGCGAGTGTGAATCGGTGTGAATCACGGTGGCCTCCGAGATGGTCGGGTCGGCCTTGCGGCCTTGCGGGCGGCCTAAGCGTGCCCGGCCTTGCCGAGCCGACCGAGCAATTAGCAGCGTGCCGAGCTGCAGCCGCTGCGGCGCGGTGTCGCGGCCAGTGCGGCCCTGACGGTCAGACCCTGACGGTCAGACCCTGACCCGCCGCGCCGCGGTCCGATCCCGGGGGATTGGGGGATGCAGCCCGCCCCGCCTACTGTCCCGAAAGCCGGCACGAGTCTGGCGCCTAGCTTCACTCGCGCGTGCGTGTGTGTGCAAAGCCGCTCCGAAGGCAGGTCACAGGTCGCTCTTTGCCCCTTAGGTAGGCTTTTGCGACATCCTCCCCCAAGGGGTACCCAACTCAAGATAATCATTGCACGTCTAGTTGGTAATCAGTGAAATAATCTACATCATCCAATGAAATGACAATCATACTTTCGGGGATTCAATCACTTTTGACCATTTTTGCGAGACCACTGCTCCCAAACCATCAGCGGTCAAAGCCTTCCCGAGGCGGGGCATGAAAGAGTAAGGGCCTTCAAAATAGTAAGGCGTCGAGGGAGGCCTTTGACCGCAACTAAATTGGATGCAGTGACCGCTCAAAGTCAGCAAAAACGGTGATTTTCTTAAATTTATTAACTTTTGACCATTTTTGCGAGACCACTGCTCCCAAACTATCAGCGGTCAAAGCCTTCCCGAGGCGGGGCATGAAAGAGTAGGGCCTTCAGAATAGTAAGGCGTCGAGGGAGGCCTTTGACCGCAACTAAATTGGATGCAGTGACCGCTCAAAGTCAGCAAAAACGGTGATTTTCTTAAATTTATTAACTTTTGACCATTTTTGCGAGACCACTGCTCCCAAACTATCAGCGGTCAAAGCCTTCCCGAGGCGGGGCATGAAAGAG